CCGGGAGGGGAGTACTCGAGCGCGATCCCCATGCTGGCACAGAACTCCTTGAAGTCGCCGCTGGTCCAGAGGGCATCGCAGTCGCATCGGATGCACTTGATCGCGGTACCAGCCTTGTGGGCGGCATCCACGATCATGGGCTTGACGACCCCCAGCGCCTCCGACTTACGCCGCATGGCGTAGCAGGCCATCCATCCCGTGGCTGCGTCCACATCGAAGAGCATGTAGTGGTTGCCGCCGATCGTCGCCGTGTACGCGCCACAGAGGAGTGCAGCAGTACAACGGCGTCGTCGAGAGCGCCATCCAGAGGTGCCTCAAGATCGGCAAGGCATCTCGCCGCGCTGCCCAAGAGATACTTGGCCCCGCTGGATTTTCTCGTATCCGCGGGCTGAGCGTTCGGGGAGACGAGCTCTGGGCGGAGTCCGCAAAAGACGCCGCGCAGAAGCTGAACCAGTCTGCATCTCCTTCCAACCCAGGGGGTGTCTCGCCGCAGGAGCTCTACACCGGGAAGAAACGGCCCTTCCGTTTGGTACCGTTTTTCCAGTANCTGCTTTGCGGACAGCCTCAAAATGGGTTCGGACAAGTAGCCGGCACGGTAGTGGAACGCGTTAATATCCATGACCTTTTGTGCATTCCCGACATTGAAAGGCGTCTTCCCAGGACCCAACACAGCCATAGCGCGCTCGCACTCATCACTCTCCCACACATCAATAATCTTTGCCGAGTACTCCGCTACAGCATCCGTCACACGGGGGGGGTTCAAAGTCGGAATCCATCGCGGCTGTACAAGAGCCGATGCCACGAATGAAACGCAGTTTGCCGTGCATCATTTGTGTACCGTTGGGGTTGATACGGACCTCATGCTTGTGAGACACCTTCCATACCGAGAAAAGGTTGAAACCATACCCGGGCACAAACAAAACCTCTGGCACCGTAACGTCCAAATCCTCCTGTTTCCCGTCGGCTCCGATTTGGTGGAAGCTAAGGTCCAAACTCCCTACAGCGGCAACCTTGATAAGGGCCGAGTCTCCAATCTGTATGAACTGTTCATCCGGGCCCAAGTGGCGTACGTTGTACATTGCATCAAGTTTGTTCGAAATCATTGCACTAGCTCTAGAGTCGGCGTGCCATTGTTCACTACCAATCGGATTCGGCATAGAGGGTTGGCACAAGAAAACTTTGTCAACCGTGGGACGCCGGGTGAGACGGTCTACGACTACCCTTTTAGGCACACTTGGTACTTCAGTAGGGACAGATGCATCACACTCCGAAACGCCGAACTCTTCATCAGGACTCTCAAGCACAGCAGGCATGCGGGGTACAACATGAGAAGACACACCAGACTTCGAGACACCCAACTCTTTATCAGAACTCTCAGGTACAGCAGGTACAGCAGGCATGCGGGGTACAACATGAGAAGACACACCAGACTTCGAGACACCCAACTCTTTATCAGAACTCTCAGGTACAGCAGGTACAGCAGGCATGCGGGGTACAACATGAGAAGACACACCAGACTTCGAGACACCCAACTCTTTATCAGAACTCTCAGGTACAGCAGGTACAGCAGGCATGCGGGGTACAACATGAGAAGACACACCAGACTTCGAGACACCCAACTCTTTATCAGAACTCTCAGGTACAGCAGGTACAGCAGGCATGCGGGCAACACCAGGGATAGACACATCAGATTCCGCACTCATGAACACGTCAGACATTGAAAAGCCAAACTCTTCCTCAAAATCAATCTCAGACTTGCCTCGAGGGCACATGCTACGTGCCACGAAGAGACGCAGAGGGGAATCGCCGGCTGGAGGTAGAGCGTCGGCTGGAGCTGGAGAGGGAGAGGAGGAGGAAGAGGTCGCCTGGGGTGCGCCGTAGTACCGCTGCTGCTGCTGCTGCTGCTGCTGCTGCTGCTGCGAGATGTCGAAGGTCTCGTAGCTCGCGGTTGTTGGGCGTCCGGTCCAGCAGCAGAAGGATAGTGTGGTACGTTGCTCACTTCTTGCTGCTGGTAGCGCCCTCCGCCGTCGGTGAATTGGTGGTAACCGTACCCCCCGCCGGCGGCGCTGCTGTAGGTATCTCCGCCATGGTCCATTCCTTGAGCCGCGAGCCCGCACCCGTAGCCTGTCTCGGGAGGTGATGGGGTCCAGCTGGGTGTAGATCCGGGCGCCGACGTGGCGTCCCATCTCGAGGTGTTGGGCGGCGGATAATTACAACCACGGCCGCCCACCTGACGACCTCGGCTTTCCGGAGGGTAAGGACCGAATCCACCATGCCCACGCCCCCCAGAGTTGCGCCCCTGCAGCTGTCCTCAAGCTCCAGATCCTGGCCCACGCTAGCGTTCACGATCAAGAGAGTGGCCGCTGTGTCTACGCGCGCTAGCGTCGGTGCCTTGGCGCGCGGGGTCCCGTAGTTGGGAGATAAAAGAGCCAGCGGCGTGGTCGCCGCCAACGGTGCAATGGAGGAACTACGATGGGCGTGATAGCCTGCTGCTTTGGGATGGAGCGTGATAGCTCGGGTATGGTATCTCTGAATGTGGTATGAAAGCCTGTTGGCGTGATAGCCGTGGTGCGAAGGCGTGTGCAAGGACGTGGAAGTACAGAAGGCATGGTAGCCGGGTGGCATGATAGCCGGGATTGGCGTGGTAGCCGTGGCGTGATAGGACCGTTTTAAACGGACCGACTTTTTTGTCAAAATTTTCGACAGTTGTCTTTCAAAAACTTGGAACCTGTGTGCAGTCATTTTAAACGTGTGACGTAGACTTGTGCAACTTGTGTCAAAAAAAATGACGCCGTCCGTGAGTTGTAGCGCTCACTTCGAGACAACACAGACGACACAACACAAACCGCGGAAAACACGACATCATGGACACCGACATGGATATCACGACCACCCAGCGTGGCCGGCAGACCAAAACCCCGGCGAAATTCCAGCAGACGGGCTCTCTCGGTGCCGCCGTAGGCGGTGGAGGCTTGCTCTCCAGCAAGATAGTGCTGCTGCCTGGCATCTCGGGGAACACTCATGTTACCACGGGAGGCGCTGCCGCCACCAACACTCCGCCGGCGAGGGGTGGCAACCACTGCTCCTACCCCCCCGGGAAAAGGAAAAAACAAAGCGGCGGACGCGAAGCAACAACTGCAAGCCATCATGGCGGACCGCCGTTTTTTTTTTTTGTATTGCGCGTGCCCGTGGGCGAGGAGAGCCGCTCGAATCTGTAGGCGCGCCGCGCTTTCTACGGTCGGCCATGACCCACACACAACCCTAGCTGACTTTCTACGGTGAGGGGCACTCGTGGTGCAGACGCAGCAGCCCTCGCGTGCCTCTGCAAGGGTACTTTGGAAAGTGCTCCAAATACTTTGAGAGGGTTGTCAAAAAGTTGGAACGAAGTGGAGCAAAGTTTTCGCGCCCAACTTCGTTCCAAATATTTTGAAAAAATATGGACAAACGCCTACATACAGGTTCCATTTTTTTTACAATTTCAAACATTTTGACAAAAAGTCGGTCAGTTTAAAACGGCCCATAGCCGGGAAAAAGGACTTGATTGCACACAGGAAGAAGGAAAAAAAGAGGGAAAGAGGAAGTGGGCAGCCACAAAACACAATCACCATATCCGTTGTAGACGCACCTATACCCCCACCCTCAATCCTGAAATATGCGGCAAAGTTGGTACCACTGAATCTAATCCATAGCAACTGCTGAACCCCCAAACTCCCCACTGCCCCACTCCATCTGCTCGGAAATCTTGCTTGCAATAATTTGTCGATGCTGTTGATGTGCTAATGGCAGCAATTTTCGAGCGGGCATACTTATTGCGGTTCGGCAAACAAATTAGGTTCTAAAATAGAACCTGTCGCAAACTGCCCAACAGAGCGCGTACAACGCAAAAAACAAAAAGAATTTTAGCCAGCCGTTGTAGAGCAACTCGCCGTCCACGCCAGGCACCTGGCCAGTCCGGCACCCACCATGACCAAGCGTGGTAGGCGGGTACCGACAGTCGGCACCAATGGACGTCCGCCTAAAGCGATCAAGGGGGCGAACGCTGCGGCCGTGAGAAATGCAAAGGCTATGAACAAGCTCTTGGATGATATGGAGAAGAGAGAGGCGGCCACCGCCGCTGCCGAAGCAGCTCTCGCGGCCAAGGAAGAAGAGGTGAAGGCCATGAAGGCGTCAGTGGCCAGGGATCAGGAGAAGCTCGCGCGGGACATCGCGAGGTCGGACGCTCTTCAACAGCAGCGTGAACGGCGAGAGCAGGATCGTGTCAGCAAGGTTGCTGAAGCGGCGACTTCCAAGCTTCCCCCTCTCGCGCTGAAGTTTGTCGAGGACTCCGTGCAATCGCTGAGGCCCAAGACTGGCGAGCTCACCACCCTGCAGCAGTCGCGGATGATTCTCATGCTGTACTTCGACCTGGTGAAAGGAGGCAGCTCTGAGAACCACGCAAAGGAGCAGGTGAGAACCAAGAAACATGGCTGTTGTGTGCAAAGTACCAGTGATAGACGCATGTTGTCACGTTTTGACAGCAGTACAGCAGTGCCACATACTTTTCTGGTACATTGTATGTATGCATACATCCCACCCAAGATTTTTGTACAAGCAACAGCAGTGCTTGATACAGCCCTACGCAACATATTGTGCATCATGCCAGTACTGCTGCCGGCCCATGGTCACATTGCTTGCACTGCTGTGCTGATGCCCATTACTGC